AGCTCAGTGGTTCTGGCACCTGCCTCACAATCACAAGGTCCAGAGTTTGATCCCCAGTACAAAAAAATCCAAAAAAACCATATTACTATTCTTTTTACATCTATGTAAATGATCAGAACAAGTTTAATGAAACTGTTTACTTTTTTAAAAAACATGACTTATGATTATTTTTGGCAAAAATGGGAAAGACTATTGAAAAGATAGAAATTTAAGCCCAGGCATGGTGGTGCACGCCTGTAATCCTAGCACTTGGGAGGCTGAGGCAGGAAGATCACTGTGAATTGGAGGCCAATTTGGGCTACTTAGAGAGTTCAAGCCCAGCCTAGACTACATAGTGAGACCCTGTCTCAAAAAACAAGACAAAACAGGGCTGGGGATTTAGCTCAGTGATTCTGCCGCCTGCCTTGCAAGCGCAAGGACCCGAGTTCAATCCCCAGTACCAAAAAAAAAAAAAAAAGACAAAACAATAAAAAATAGTACACACATTATTAAATTCTAGTCTTATTTATTTGAGGTTCTGTTATGTCCCTCTACATTGGATTGAATCCGGATTTCTTTTTAATTTTTAGTTTCATAAATCACCAGTATTCTCCATTTCCCAAGCCTTGCAAGCTGAAACTGGATGATTTTAAACCTTAAGAATATCAAACCAAGCATAATGATGTATACCTATAGTCTCAACACTTGGGAAACTGTGGCAGGAAGATCACTGAAAATTCAAATTCAAAGCCATCCTAGTTTACATAGTGACTTGAAGGCCAGGCTGAACTACATAGTGAGACCACTTCTCAAAAGAACAAACCCGGCCCAGGGATTTAGCTTAGTGGTTTCGCTGCCTATCTCACAAGCACAAGGTCCCAAGTTCGATCCCCCTACCAAAAAAAAAAAAAAGGAAAAGAACAAACCCAACGAAACAAAAGCAGCAGCAACAAAAATCAACTTTTAAAATACCAGTACATAGTTCTGTCTCTGATACTGAAAAAACATTAAAAAATCAGTACAGGCATGCCCTACCAAGGTCCCAAGTGGCACGGAACACACCGAATCAGCCCACTGCAGACAGGCAGGTCTGTGCACGCCCTATGGAGGTCCCCAGTCGGGCGGTGTGGGACTGCATAACTCTGTAATCATAAAACTCCCCTAGCCCCAACTGTGAATGTGAGTAAATAGATAAAGATGCTTGTTAGTTCCAGGACACTAGATAAGATCTGTATCAGCCATAAGGTCCCAAAGTAAATTACTCAACTCTTTGTTCAAAACTGATGTTCCGGACACCGCTATCTACAGAACAATCGACAAACATGTGCTGACCATCAGTACGTGTCAGCTGACCACTAACCTTTGTTACTCTTCTGTAAATTTCGCCTATTGACTTCCCCTGCAACCCCCTATAAAAAGAGCCTCAGACTCTGGGCTAGTCGCCTTTCTAAGCTACTTTGCTTTGGGGGTGCCGTCTGGCGAGACTAAGGTCTGTTTTACTTTCCAACTTGTCCCGTGTGTTCCTTCCTGGGTGTTCTTTGCTGCAGTCAGCTCCTCGGAGCATTTGGTAAGGCCCTTGGTCTTAAATTTTGGAGGACCCGCTGGGATTCCCGGGGGTTCTACGCTGCAGTCAGCTCCTCGGAGAGTTTGATAAGGCCCTCGGTCTTACAGCGGAAGACGCTGAATCACCCCGATGCAGACAGGCAGGTCTGCCCATGCCCTACCGAGGTCCCAGGTGGCACGGAACACCCCGAATCAGCCCACTGCTGACAGGTAGGTCTGTGCACGCCCTACCGAGGTCCCAAGTCTCGCAGAAGTTGCCGAATCACCCCGCTGCAGACAGGCAGCCACCTGGTTCCACACTACAAAGACTCAGAGGACACCAGACCACCAGACCAAGGTACTGATTCCCGCTGCTCCCGGCCCAGAGGTAAGGGCTTCTGAGCAGCTGTCCCACTGCTCCTGGTCCAGAGGAAGGGGCTTCCCGGCCACCATCCC